AGCTTAGTGTACGCAGTGCCGATTCAAACCGAAGAAGAGTTACGAAATCGTATAATAGTATGCTGCCAAACCATAAGAGACACCCCAGGAATTTTTGAAAATGTACGTCAGTCTATGCGAAGAAGAGTAGATGCTTGCATACGTGTGGGTGGAGGACACTTTCAACAACTACTGTAAATACATAATAAATACATTATGACACTTTACCCAGCCTACTAATTTTTATTTCATTTGCTTTAAGGGGGCACTTAATGAGCTTACCGTTTTTTCTATCCAAACATTTAATATTATGCCTACGAGAACGTCATTTGTGAAAGTAGAAAATTAATTTTTGCCCCACAAAAAGTGTTTCCACGCACGGCGGGTGTCTACAAAATGGCAACAAAATATCAAAAGCAGTCTCAATGAACTTGGGGGAAAAACTTTTTTTGGTTTTCATTTTTTTACGTGCAAATGGTGCATCGTACGAGAGTAGTCTAGGGACCGAATTTGCTGTAAAATAAATGAAGATTTTAAAAATAATTTTAGTTTTTAGAAAAAGCAGTGGCGTACCACTTTTTTCTTCAAAAATGTTTAGTTTAAACCTCGTACGGACGTCATTGGCAAAGAGTTTAAAACATTTTTTACATCAAACAATGCTCCTTAATGATTAATAGGTGTGTACAAAATTTCATAAAAATATCTGGAGTGATAAGAAAATTATAATAAAAAAGTAATTTTTTTCTTAAAACTGTAACACCCTGTAGCTCAAAAATTAAGAGGTTTAGGACATATGTTGATATTAAGTTTTCTTTTTAAAATGACCCAAAGATTCACACCCTTAAATATCGGCATTCAATTAATAAACACCCTGTATAAAAAAATCTCGGTCTCTTTTAATTTTCTTTAATCGTATTACTTTCCTACTCTAACATTTTGGCCGAACCCTATTGAATTTTTGGACAGGTGGCGAAATACTCAAATAAATTAAATAAAAATCAGTACCAAACAATCGAGCGTAATCAGTCTAACTTCATTAATACCTAAATATTTCCAAAATTAGGCACATGTTTTAAATTATCCTGATCCTGAAAAAAAATTGCTCCAAAAGAACGAAGATAATTGGTTCTTCGTAGCCACGGAGTTTTACCTAGGCGATATAGAAAAAATAGAGCTATGGTGTGATTTTATAGGCTACAACCCAGCTTGGTATATCGCATAGAAAAATTGTGTTTAAATATCTAATGTTGGGAACATTTCAGGTTTTGCTCAGAACTAGAAATATTTGATATTCAACAGAATAAATACTGGTCATTCCAAGTGAACACGTGGTTTGAAGTTTTAAAAAATGAACAAATGATGTATACGGCATATCCTACGAAACCGGGCGATGTCAAGAAGAAAAAAGTTGCTGCTCTCAATTTATTCAACAAATTTTTCAACAGTTTCCGAGGAGCGCATATGTGGAATTTGATCAAGTATAAGTCTATATACAGGGTGCTTCAGGATTAAGTCGACAAACTTTAAGGAGATATTCCTCATTAAAAAATAAGAAAGAAATCAAGTATAAATTTTTTTCCAGAGACGCTTCATTTTCGAAATATAGA